AGGGTTAGGTTTGGGGGGGTTAGGGTAAGGTTTTCACTTTATTTTTACATTTTTCAATATTTTTCGTCGCGCTGTGATGACGTCACATACGCGCTTTCGTCAACCGCGATTTTGTCGTCCGTGGTTTTGTGGTGGAACCCCCACTTCAGGTCACCTGAAGCAAGACTACGTCTCCCCGTTCCCAGTCTGAGGCCTTGAACCAGTGCAGCAAACTGGCTCTCGCCTGGGAAATAAAGGTAAAAGTTTGCCCCGTCTGGCTCCAGGGGGCGATGTTCCTCGCCGTTTCTTGGCCGAGGGAGCCAGCATTGTCCAAAGACATTTCCGTGGTCATTGGCCAGCATGGCTGTCACCTTGAGGCCCATGGAACGCTCCTCAGAGTCTGACTTGCTTGGGGGCGTCAACCCTGATATTGTCACAGGAATGGCACCTCTTTATCTAGTTGCATTTTCATGCTTTCAAATGGTTAGATGGGCAGGAGCTGGGCAAGAACGGGAGCTCACCCCGCCTCGTGGTGCTCGGGTATCGACCCCGGGCTGTCAGCTTTCCAGCTGACAAGCTCAGTGGCTTTAACCACTGAGCCGTTGGGCCCCCATCAGCTGGGAAATAGAGCAATGGAAAAGCACAGTAAGCAAGTTAAACAAGGAGGGAGCAAAGGGCCTTTCATGGGTCCCAGAGAGATCGGGGGCACTGACAGCTGTTGAGGTCCTCCTTGCGAAAGAAATAGAAGATAAGAAATGACAGAAGAAAAATGCACCAAGGAAGAGCAATCGAGCAGTTGGAATACCTCTCAGTTCATAAAACAGGCCAAACTCGGCATCTTCCAGGCGATGCAGATAAAACAACCCGCCCTCAATCCCTCCAAAGCAGCCTAGGAAGGAGCCCGGAACCAGGAAATGCAAACTTGGGCTGGGTGGTCCGGGGGGGTGTATGGAAGGGGCGGGGGGGTTAAAAGTCTCCCTGCAGAGCACGGAAACTGCTTTGGTTGCACTGACCGATGATCTCTGGGGAACCAGGGATGGAGGTCAACCCTCCATCCTAGTGCTTCTTGACCTCTCAGCGGCCTTCGATACCATCGACCATGGTATCCTTCTGCGACGGTTATGAGAGGTGGGGGTGGCAGGCACCGTTTTACGGTGGTTCTCCTCATACCTCTCGGACAGGTCGCAGTCGGCGTTGGTCTGGGGGCAGAGGTCGACTCCTAGGCCCCTGAAATATGGGGCCCCACAGTGTTCGGTCCTCTCCCCCCTCCTGTTTAACATCTACATGAAGCCGTTGGGTGAGATCATTCGGCGGCACTGAATAAAATACCATCAATACGCGGACGATACCCAGTTGTATCTGTCCACCCCGTGCCAACTCAGTGAACCCCGTGCCAACTCAGTGATGTGCCAGTGCCTGGAGGCTGTCAGGGTCAGGATGGGGGTTAACAAGCTTGCGCTCAGTCCAGACAAGACCGAGTGGCTGTTGTGTTTCCCTCCCAAAAATTTGGCTAGTATTCCATCACTCAGGCTGGGGGGTGAAAATTTACGCCTGGACCCACAGCTGACTTTAGAACA